ACACTTCCCCCCAGCTTGGTGTCATCTTGGTCGTCGTCGTCGTCGTTTGCTTTCCATTACACTCTGGTTTTGTTTGTGTTTAGGCACATTTGCTTGGTTTAGGTTTTTAAGCACTCTCTTGAATGCTTTTTTTCAGCTTTCTGCTTTTGTGTAGAGAGGCTTGGAATAATGCTCCCGTGATTCGTGTTTCTGTAGGTGTTACGGCAAAGCTTTAAAAGTGATGCCTTTGCCTAGCATATGGTGTGATCTTGGAATAAGTTTCTATCGACAAGCAGAGCACCTCACCGCAGTGGGCGCTGACATGAATGAGATCAATGAGCTGCTGGAGAAGTCTTTACAGGTATTGCCTGTTTTTCTGTAAGATTTAAATTGGCACTGGTGCTTGTCTGCACGCTCTCTCTGTCCTCGATAAAACTACATCACTGAATAAGTAAGTGCATAAAATCTTAGCTTTTGCTCTTGTGGTGGTTGTAATCCACATTTCGTTCTCTTCCAGTGTCTCAAAAAAGCTGTGAGGCTTGACAGCAAAAATCATCTTTACTGGAATGCACTTGGTGTCGTTGCTTCCTGTAGTGGTAAGTCTTCAGTGAAACCCCTAGCTCCATAATAGCCTAAATCAGAAGGCAGCTTGGCTAACAGTGTTTATGAGATTCACTTAGACCTAGGTCTCCTTTTTTTCTTCTTCCCCCCTCAGCTATTGGGAATTATGCTCTTGCTCAACATTCGTTCATCAAATCTGTTCAAGCTGAGCAAATCGTAAGTGCTGTAGGCAGCTGCCATCTGTTTCAAGTGGGCATCTAAGCCTTTTTTCCCCTGATGCAGTGTTATTTTTGATTATAGTAATAATACATGGGGTTTAACTTCATTTGTTCTGTCTAGAATGTTGTTGCCTGGACCAACTTGGGGGTTTTGTATCTTGCAACCGGAAACATTGAGGTAACGCTTTCCCATCCTCAAATATAGTTTACCTTATCCTTTTTTTTAAGGGAGCATATGCAGGAAGGAACGTGGGCAAACAGTGAAGAATATCCCTTTCAGATTCCAGACACTTACTTCCTATGAAGGAAACTAAATTGGCACCTGTGTCTTACTTGAGGCACACAAATGACTGAAGTATTTGTTCTGGTTGATGGGGCTGAGTGAACTGAATTGGTGAGGTTGCTTTCCAGGCAACTGGGTGGAAGGAACACCCTTTGGAAGGACTTGAAGTGATTAATCCAACCAGGGCACAGCAGGCTTAACCAACAACTTTTTGGCTGTAGATCACAAACTGACCTTTTGGTTGTTGAGCTTCCCATAGGTAGCTGCATTCTGCCCATCAGCATGTCAGATAATTTACTATAGTTCTGTGTAACTATAGTAAACAGAGTCCAGCGTAGGGCTACAAAGATGATCAAGGGAGTGGAGCATCTCCCTTATGAGGAGCGGCTGAGGGAGCTGGGGCTCTTTAGTTTGCAGAAGAGGAGACTGAGGGGAGACCTCATTCATGTTTATAAATATTTAAATGGTGAGTGTCACGAGGATGGAGCCAGGCTCTTCTCGGTGACAAACAATGATAGGACAAGAGGTAATGGGCACAAGCTGGAACACAGGAGGTTCCACTTAAATTTGAGAAGAAACTTCTTCTCAGTGAGGGTGACAGAGCACTGGAACAGGCTGCCCAGAGAGGTTGTGGAGTCTCCTTCTCTGGAGACATTCAAAACCCGCCTGGACGCCTTCCTGTGCAACCTCATCTAGGCGTTCCTGCTCCAGCAGGGGGATTGGACTGGGTGAGCTTTTGAGGTCCCTTCCAGTCCCTAATGTTCTGTGATTCTGTGATTCTGTGATTCTGTAACTTTGAGTTTCTCTGGAGAAGAGGTAGAGTACCTCTTAAGTGAAGTGCATAGTTGTCATGCAGCTAAAACACCCTCCTATCCTCTTCACTGGTTGGAAGTATAGAAATTGTGTTTAATTGGAAATGCGATGGTCAGAATAATTTTCCGTAGAAATAACCTGATACTGCAGATTGGTTACTGCTGAGATTACTAATGCTAAGATTTTGTTCACCTTATGCCAGGTTGGGGCAGGAGCTCTAAACATAAGCAGTTCCTAGGGAGAAGATAACTTGTGGGTGGTGATCAGTTTTACCATTTTGAAAATGTTTAACTGTTTACATGAAGGAAAAGCAATTTTCCAAAACTAGATCTTCCAAGAGTCGTATTTTAAAATAAGAATTGCTCCAAGAGGTAATCTAGCTGCTAAACTGTTTTGTTGCTTTGAGAAAGGAGTATACTTGGAAGAAAGGGGAACTTTGATCTTGTAGATTTTCTGACTTTTTTAAAATTTAATTTATTTTTTAAAGTAAGACCAGACTGGTTGTTTTCTCTGGGCTGTGCACTGCTCTGTATGGCACAGGAGATGTATTTAGTAGTGGCCTAATTTTGCCCATGAAATCCCTTCCCATACTGCTGCATGTCAGTACCTGTGTGTGCTCAGAAGTGCTCTGATACCATGACTGACGTTCAACTGCACTCTTCCCTTTGCTTCCACAGCAAGCTCATGAAGCCTTCAAGATAGCCCAGGCTCTGGAGCCTTCTTATGTACTGTGTTGGATTGGGCAGGTAAGATGTATAATCATAAAACTCTGCACCAAAACCAGTTGTGAGTCAAAGAGAGGGCTTGGACTTCATCCTAATAGTTGACACTTGTGTTCCTGGAAGTTAAATGTTTAAGTAAAGGGAGTTTCTGCTTCCTCTGAGGGTGGATGGGAACCTTTTGTTTCCACTGTGGTAATACAACAGAAGCTCCATTCATCCAATATCTTCATATAATGTTTTTCTGGCTGATGTTTCGAGTTCTCACGGGTATCTGGGCCATCTGTGAGTATCAGAAATACTTGTGACTCCTGCTGTTGTGGTCACTGGAGATGCACTTCATAATCCCATGCTGCTGATCCCGAGTTGAAATGGGACTCTAGGGAAGTGACACCATCCCAGGTTGAAATTTCGCCCGTCAGATGTTGTTAGGGGTTGTGTAATGCGCACAAAGTCTTTGTCCTGGAGAATGTGACATAGCAGCAGCTGAATTTTAAGTTTCAAGTAGTGATGCAATGGGAACTGCTTGTGCTCCGTTAAATTATGTTCATTTTATTCCTAAAACCAGTGTTTCTGGGGGAATATGAGGAAAAGAAAGTGTCCTCGCGTTAAATGCTTGGATCGTGCCTGATATCTGCTGAGTGTTTTGTCAGTGTCATCATTTTTAAAGCACCTGACCACAGCAACTCCTGCTTGTCTGTAGGCTTTCATTGCAGAGAAGATAGGCAGCTACGATACTATGGACCTCTTCAGGCACACGACTGAACTCTGTATGCATGTAAGTCTAACAGCTGTGTTGTCCTGAAGTTTCTGCGTGTCCCCTCTCTCCACTTTGCTGAGGTAATGTTCTTAAAAATGGGTATGTCTTGAATGACCATTCACCTGGTCTGGGTGATCCTGCTCTGGCAGGGGTTGGACTGGATGATCTTTCGAGGTCCCTTTCAACTCCTGATACTCTGTGATTCTGTGAATGGTGCAGGGGTTATGGTCATGTTCCAGGTGAGTTTGTCTGTTGTTGCTCCTGGTTCATGCTGGCACTGAATAGCAGGCATTTATTTTATTAAACGCTTTAGTCCCAAGGGTCCAAGAAATCAGCTCCATAAGCCATCCAGAAACATTGTTGATGTTCCACAGAATGAGAGATCAAACGTGTAAGTGATAACTATTCCAGGAGGAGGAAAGGATATTGCCAGTGCCCCCGAGCTGTAAGAAAGTAGAGGACATCCTCCTACAGCTTTTTCCATCTGTCATCCCTGTGGTCTTGCAGCCAGTGATGTGTTAATGTAAGAATTCTCTTTGCTCAGAGGACAAATTAAAAGTGTGTGTGGAGTAACTCACTTTGGTGTTTTCTTCTTCTGTGTAACACTGATGCAGACTGCAGCCAAGCCTCTGCCTTAAGACACAGAATTGTTATTGTAGTCTGTAATTATTTCACTGTTGCTCAAGCTGGTTTAATGACCCCTCTTTTGGGGTTTTGTGTTTGTTTCTTAAGAATGAGGGAGCAAAAGGCTATGCCCACTGGGTCTGTTCAACGCTGCAGGATAAAAGCAACAGGAACACTGAACTCTATCGATTCAACATTGTCGAAATGAATGCTATTCCAGCAGCCCAGGTGGTCTTGAGCAAATACACAGGTAGGTAACTTCAGCGCCTCACTAATATGTCAAGCCTAATCTGCATCTATTATGGTAAATAAATCCTTTGATCAGTTAAAAATAGATCATAATGTTCTACTAGTATTTGTTCTCCTAGCAAGCTGTATAGCTTCCTATTAAATTACAAAAAACCCGAACCACTGCGGGCTGAAAGAGTGGAGTACCTTAATGCTGTGTCATAAGATTTCAAGCACTTTTGAGCAAACCTGATGCCATGTTTTGAGTCTTGGTATCTCTTCTGTATTAGCGTGCAGCCTGCCAAAGCGATTCCAGTGAGCAACTGACAGGAGCTCTTGGCAGAGTGTTTTGTCTATGTGCGTACGCTGGCATCGCTGAAGCTTTGTTTTTGTCATGCTTTTTCACAGCCCTTTCTGATCACGTTCTCCCCTGTTCTCAATTCTGACTTTCTAGAGAGAAATCCAGAGGATGCGTCAGCTTTCATGATGCTGGGTTATGTGAATGAGTGTCTGCACCTGAAAAGGCAGGCAGCAGATGCCTATGAGAGGTAAACTCCGCAGAGATCGAAGCTCCTTGGCCTCTTTTTCTGTGCACCAGCTGAAAAACCAAAGGCTTTTTCTTTTCCTTGAGTAAACCTTTGCTTTCTCAATTCAGCAGTACTTGCAACTAAGCGTGCTGTAAGGGGAGACGTGGGGATGTTCTTGTATCAAATTTGGACGTGGAGAGCGCAGAACTGGAGAAGGAAAGGCATTGCAAGGGTTCAAGTGTCTTACTGGCACACTGAGCTAACTCACTGTGTGGGATTTCAGTGAAATTTTGGGGGTCAGTTAGCTTGGTTCCAGTTTTGCTGTCTGCCCCATTCTAATTAGTGGAAGTAGCTGGGCTTTGTTTTGCCTTTTTTCTTCTCTTTTCTTTTCAAATGGTAGGGCAAGGTGTCAAAAGAAACCGTGTTTGGTGAAGATGCATCGGAACTGTAAAATAAGCTCCGTTTGTACTTAATTGGTGTAGAAAAGCTCCTGCATGAAACATTTGTCCATTTTGCTCTGAGAACTATTGTCAAAGCGTGCGTGTTACAGTCAGATGGTAATTATTAATTGTCATTCTTTTTTCAGGGCAGCCTTGTTGCTGAAAAACTCTGAGGATACTGAGAAACGTAATACAGCAATGCAAAACTATGGCAGGGCACTGTGGTAAGTGTTTGTTGAGGTATTTTCCCAGCTGCTAACTTCAGCTTTGGATGTAGAGAATGGAGTGGCGCAAAACATGGGCGACGCTGAAAGGTGAAAGGTGGTTGGTGAAAATAGTCTATTAAACATCATCAAGTTGGACTGAACCTTCTATGTGCTCTAGAAATGTATTAAAAGAAATCAAATTACAAGAAATTGCTGTACTTCTTGACAGTTTATAAGACAGCAGTGATTCCCTTATCATCAGCTTGATACTTAAGTACCTTAACGTAGTCTGGATGATGTAGCTGATGAGTGGTCTGCAGAATAAAGTGGAGTCTTCACAATCTGCATGCTTGAGATACATAGGAGGCTTAGTCTGAACAGAAGAGTGGCTTCAGGGCTTACAGAGAATCTCTTCTCCCTGCCCGTTGCATTTGTATTGACTTGTACAGCCTGCAGCAGTGGGCTTGAGGTGTTGTGTCCATGTGCGTGGTGTTTCTGCCGGTGACCCCTCTGCTGCAGTGGTACTCAGGTCTGAGCTTCCTTCACCATTCTCCTCCGGCTCTGAGGGAACGCAAGGCATGAGTCTCAGCAGATGAAGACTTTCAGACTTCTCTTTGATAGGAGATAGCTCAAGCTCTGCTAATCAGGTTTTTGTCAGCTCTCCAAGGAAACTTCCTGTGTCCTTCAGTTCCTGTATGTGACACTGGGACTTCTAGGCTGTGGTAATGTGATAATTCATTCTGTAACTTCAGATTTTAGAAGCAACTCTTCAGTTTCGTGGAGTCTCACATCCAAGCTGCACGCGTGGTGACTCCAGTGTGCAGCTTGCACAAGAGCAAAGCACCAGTAACTAATAGCTAGTTCTAATAAACACAATCCTGGGTAATTTTTTCCCTGGTGGCCTGCTGTATCTCCATCTGTACGTGCACTTGCCCGTCTGCGTGCGTGCATACTTCGATTTGCTTTCTTCGTGTTTCTCCGTCGCTGTTTTCTGCCGCTCCATTGTGTTGACCATTAAGTGACATCCCTACATGTGGATGCCGTGTAGATGGGGAGAATTTCTTCGTGTCAATTATTCCTCATGTAGCAGAGAGTAACTGCTGTAACAGAAGGGGAGGAGGGATATGCCCATTCTCGTCCTAGCCTTGCTCTTTTCCAGATGTCTGCTTACAGCTGCTGTAGAAAAGAGGAGGTATTGGACAGCTTGGCTGAATCGCAGCAGCTGTTGCTGCCTCCTTCATACCACGACTGTTGTTGTTGTTGTTCCAGTGCCCTTGGTGAGTGTGATAAGGCCATTGAGGTCTACACGTCAACACCCCTGACTGAGTTTGATGGCATTGTGGGGATAGCGTTAGCCTACTTCAAGAGAGGCCTCTTCCAGGAGAGTATCAAAGGTGAGCATCTGCCTGATTCAGACTATGATGGGACCCTTCTCCTGAGATGAATCTCACCGAAATCTGTGTCTGACCAACCTGCGTTGGTTGTGCTGCATTGTCGTGTTCTGTGCTGCTGAGACGTGAGACTTCACCAAAAGGTGGCACTGCCAAAGGAGGAGCCAGCTCAGCATTTTAAATAGCTCTTAGTTTTTTGATTAAAGTGAAGTGTGCCCATCTGAAGTATTATTTCATACATAAACTGTGGCAGGAGAGTATTTTAAACTCTGTTCTTTCAGGCTCTCTTTCTGGATGTCACAATACTGCTTTGCAGTTCTGTTTCCACATATTACACAACTCCCAGGCTCTAAACAGCCCTGTAAATCTGACATTTCCTAATGTACAGTTACTTCCCAAGTCTTGGTCAGCTTTTTTTGCCTTCTGCCTATGATTTGAGGGGTGAAAATACAGTGACCCTGAAACCAACATGTGTTGTAGTATTGTGCCTTTCTCGAGGCCTTATAAATGTTGTTTTTTTCCTCCTACTTCAATTCTGTCTTGACTCTTTACCAGCCTATGAAAAAGCCTTGTCTGTTGCCGAGTCTGAACAAGATAAAGTACATATCCAGACGGCCTTGGCAATAATAGAGTACAAACAGAACAAAGTGGATGCTGCGAAGGCGCTGCTGTTTAAGTGGTGAGTGGAGGGCCTGATAATCCGTTTGTGAAGTTTTATGTACTTTTTGGGAGGCCTTGGATGGGTATTTTTGTGTTGCAGAGTAAAAGTGGGAGTGTTCTTTTCAGCTTGCTTGTGTGATATATCTGGTTTGGTTTATGGCCTGTGTCGTCTTCCATCCCTTTAAGGCAATTGGGAGGGTTAGTGGGCTGGACAGTTTGATGTCTAATACTTGAATTGTGGTTATAATAGATAATCTGTGAAGATAATATTCATCTGTAGTTGTCCTAAGCACTAGGCAACATTTTTGCTCATTAGTTGGAAGAAATAAAAATAAAAAATAATCTTTAGAAGCTCGATTAGGAGCCTGTAGTCACCTGATAAGTGCAGTTAAGCAGCACGTCATCCACAGTGATGACAGTGAAGTAACTCCAAATTACTGTTGCCATATACTGTTTTGTTGTTTGCCTTCATTCAGTTTGTATTGCATTTTCTAGAGCTGCCTTTGTTGTGAGAACACCTTCAACACGACATCAGTTAAGCTCTTTGATTTTGGTGGCTTGTACCGAGCTTGCTGTTTTCACCAGAGGATTAACTTGAGTTAAGAGATTTCCACCTATACTAGAAAATTTGCTGGAAAAAAACAGTAGCTATGTCTAGTAGGTCCCCAGTAAAGCTGGGAGTACTTGATACGAGGTTAAACTGCCTCTCATAATGAAACAAATGGATTGGTGCAGCCGTCAGTGGTACTAGAGCTAACAGACAGTGCAAGCCTGCTCAGACTACCTTACTTTGGGACAAATCTCGATGTAAACAGGGTGTAATTTCTCCAAACACCCTTCTTCTCAGGAAGAGCAGTTCTGTGCAGCAGGCTCACTTCTGGCTTCTCCCTTCTTGCATTTCTGTTGTGCAGCTGTAAACAGGCACACTGCAGCACAGGTTTGGTACCAGTTAGAAGTTAAACACCTTAAAGCAAAGAAAAGAGCGGTCAGGGGTGCGCGTTGTCTCCTGCCGTTCATTTTATGACCGGTGGACAGTGGATGTGTCAGGGTCCTGAGTGTGGAAGTGGCTCCTCATCACTGCTGGTCTCCATGTCCTGAGATCTCACGGGCACTGACCTGGCTTGGTTCATGATCCCATCGCGAGAGGCTGTGGGATGCAGTTAACCCTGTATACCACACGAGATACATAGGAGCAAGAGGACTCCAAGTAACAAGCGCTGTAATGTTAAGGAAGTGTAATTTGTGCGCCAAAATAGCATCTCCTTCCCTCCCTCTGATCCAGCAGCTCCTTAAAGGAACCGAGCCTGGAAAGTCTGAAGGCTCTGTGCACGCTGGGACTGGTGCAGCAGGACGCGACGCTCGCAACAGCAGCCCTCAAAGAGTTCCTGAAGCACGACAGAGGGGATGGGGACCCCTATGAGAGGTGCCTTCTTGTGTCTGCTGTCTGTGCATTGCAAGGCAGAAACGTGGCGGCCCAGAGAGAAGTCTCCAAAGCAATACACATGTATGTATTTTGTCTGTCTTTAGGGTGCCAAATGTATTGCTTTGATTACACTGAGCAGCCAGCAGACCTCTGTTCACTGGCAGCATTCTTCTAAAACAAACAAACAAAATACAATTGGTTTTGAAATGGTCAGCCTTCACTTAAGGTTGTAGCATCAGCAGTCTGAAGCTTTCTGATTTATGAGCTCAAAGGGCAGAGGTCTCGTGGCTGGGTTGGGGTTTTCTGGTTTTGTTTTGCTGGGTTCTTTAGTAGCTGGATCTGTTCACTCTTCTAGGAAAGCATTTTTCAACAGATGTAGCAGAACTTTCAACCTAGAAAAGCCTCTAGGGCTTTTTTTTAATATTTAACAGCCTCTGAAGCTGTTCTTGCTGTTCACTAAATGTCTGTGTTTAAATGTGTTTAGATCAGCCTTAGGATTATAGAAAGGGGGAACCTTTAAGCAAGACACACCTTGTAGTCTCTCGAGGGGTTTTTTGACACTGTTCTTCATGCAAATTGTTTTTCTCCAACTGCCATTAAAACTCCTTGTTCCTCACACTATGAGGGCAAGACAGGTAGTCCTAAAGTTTATTGGTTTCCTTCCCATGAGGATTGATATGTCCATTGTATGTTTTATTTCTTTATATAGCAATATAACTTCAGTATTGCGGTGTTTGTTTTAAATTACTACCCATGTCTGTTGTCAACCACGCTGGATTGTTTTCTTAACAGGAAAAGATCCATTTGGGATTTATAGCAACTGCCCACTGAGTCATGGAAGAGCAGGTTCCTGTCTAAACCTCTATGAATACTTGTATAAAACTTCATATCTAAACCCTAATATCCTTGTTCTTTTCTCAGTAACCCTGACAATCCTGCCCTGTGGTCCCTTCTGTCTCGACTGGTTCCACTGCACGCACCACAAAAGGCAAAGGTAAGTGCATTGCTGCACCACGCCTGTGCTGTTCACGTCCCGAGTAGTCAGGATTGTTTCTTGCCTTAAAAACCTCTCACCCTTCAGCACGTGGACATTCACTGGTTAATGTGGAAACTTAGGGCTTAACGCACACAGGCACAAAAGTAGCAAGGCACAGGTACATCCTGAAGATACAGGCCCAATTATTTGCATCTTTCAGGGAGTGGCAATTCTTTATCTTCCTGAAATAAACCTACAGGGAAGATCTACAAAGTTATTCCAAGAAGAAAAGGCTGTAGTTTCTACTATGTCTAAGTTTTGGGGTTTGTTCCACACATGTAATATATATATGTGTGTGTATATATGTGTTTTACACATGTAATATATGTGTGTTAATACATGTATATTAGGATTTACATGTGTTGAGTGTGGTTAATCCAAGCAGTTTCACTTTTCGCATAATCCAGTATTTCCTTGCCACTTTCATGCTTATTCATGCTCTTCTCCAAAGAAATACTCTTTGTCTTAATTTGTGTCAATCGTGCAAACAGAAGAAGCACCTAAGAACAAACTGCTTTCTATATGGGTCTTGAGTTGGAAACACAGCATATGATCCTGAACATCTCTTTCTAATCCTTTATGAAGAGGTCATGCTGTAGGCAGGGAAAAGATCTCATTGTGCAAGCTTTGTATATCTGATTAGCAAAGATAAAAAGACTTTGGCGTTACTTTTTGTGTAAAATTTCTGAATTAATTAGTCATGTGACAAAATAAATTACTTTTTTCTTAATCTCACAGGGTGGAGCTGTGGCAGGACACACCGCGCATGTCCATGACATAAACCGCGGAAAGGTTTGGCTTTCTTGTAATGCAGACTTGATCATTCCATAAACAATCTCAAAGTTAATTTCATCTGATCACTTATATTGTAGAGTCAAGTCACGCTGATGCTCTGTTTTGTAGGAGGTCCTGCTGAGTATTGCAGCGAATCAGTTGGCAGCAGGATGTCACATGCTGGAAGACGAGAAAAACAATCCTCTGAAAAATATCCAGAAGGCAATCCACCTCTACCCAGGTTACTTTTTGTTCTCAAACACAATAGTGGCTTTTTTTTTACCCATCAGAAGCAAAATTACTGTGCTAACAAAAAAATTTCTGTTTTTCTTGGGTCGCTTTGTTGTTTTGGGTTAGAGTTGAAATTTTAACTGCCATTCCAAGTTTAGACATGGAGGATTAAGCCAGACAAGAAGCAAAAAAAATCACTGATGAGTTTAAAGGCTTGTTCTGAAAACTTGGGTGATTTGTTAATCCCTCAGCAGGTGAAGATAGATGTATTACTTTGTACATTAGACAAAAAAAAGGAGAACACACGTTCCCTCGGAGTCAGCACGCTACACCAAGCAGAAGAGATTCATTCATCTAGCTTGGGAATTTGGGTTGGAGATGTTGTGTTACACGCGCTGGTCATGAACTACAGGCAACTGTTCACCTCTTGCTAAATGGTGATCTGCAGGAGTTGAGTGCAGTGCCAGTCTCGAGGGCTTTTTCGAGTGCTCATTTGCACTTGGTAGTGAAATACCAAACCAGTTTTGCTCTGATGCATTGGTGTGGCAGCCAGTTAATCATTTCAGTTACTTTCCTACAGGTACATGCAAGACTGTGACTATTATTCCAAAGCAATCTGCTTTACATTCTGCTTCGTTAGACCTGCAAGCTCTGTTAAATTTTGCTGGCAGAATTAATTGTCTTTGGGGTGAAATCTTCACCCGAGCTCTGCTCAAGTCAGGGCAGAGACCGCTGCTCCGAACCATCGCTGCACATCACGGGGCTGGGTCGAAGTAAACTGGCAGCTTTGGTTAGCACACCAGTGACTACGTGAGAAAGACATCGGTTGGCTTTAGAAACAGCATCTTCCTCTTAGGATTTGAAGGATCTTCCTTCAGAGGCAAACAGTTCCCAGCTGCCTTGGGCTGAGCTGGTATAAGAGACCTTGCTGTCTTAGTTACAGTGTCTGGGTCCATTGATGGCTTTGTTCTTATGCTTCATCTGGTAAAAGCCATTCTGAATAAGCCACTGGTATATTTAGAGCGTCTTGAATTGAGTTGCCTTGAACTGTTCTTCTCCAGATAATCCCGTGGCCTGGGCAATGCTGATGGCAGCCTGTCATGCTGAAAACACCGTTGTCTGCCTAAACAACACTCAGCCAAAGCGAACGGGTCTAGAGATGACACTTGTGTCTACAGTTTCAGCCAAAAGTAAGCTATCCAAGTGTTCGAGTTTAAAGAAATCAAGTAAACTGAAGTGCTGTAAGCTTGCAGTGCTCATCGGAATTAGGGTAGGGTTAATTACTTAACCGCAGCTTGCTTTCCCCTCCAAAGCCTCAGATGCTTTTTTTGACATAGTACTTTGATGCCCAAATGGATGTGTGGATGTGCTGCAGCACAGGAGCCACAGGGAAGGGCTGAAGGACTCTTGAGATCTGTCACTTTTACAGTGGAGGGTTCACCTCAGCCTCTGTCCCGCTCCACATCTGTAGTGCTTTGAAAACTGGAATTAAAATTCCATGTTTGACTGATTGTTCTCAACCCTTTAACTCCAATGGCTTGTTCTCTTCTCTTGCCTTTAATTTTGCCATCTCTTCATGTTCCTCCTAATGAAGGAAGCCATGTCAGGTTGCTACTCCTAAAAGTTCTCCCTTACCAGCTCTAGAGCATGAGACATGGCCTGGCACTGCTGCATAGGCAGTAATTGTTTTGTCTGTCTGTGCAGCTGGAGAGAACAACCTTCCACGTGGTTATATCCAGACTCTTGAGGACTGGTGCCTGTGTCAAGCTATCACCAGTCTGGAGGAGACTGGGAAACTCTCGGAAGCTGAGGCTCTTTGTACCAAGGTATGAACTCTAAAGCAGCAGCTTGTTAAGGACTCACAGAAGACATAGTTTGTATTTAAGAAAAGAAAGATGGGTGAAAAGGGTTAAGTGTTCTTTCTTAGAAGAGATCTGATTTGAGTTATAATTCATGGAAATATTGTGATTGGAACCGGTAAAATACTGTGTAATGTGACTCACAGCAGCTTCATCTGAGAAGGGTGAAGTAACGGATGGGTGGTTTTCTGTCTGCTTTTTTACATGTTTTTCTGGAAAATGCTCTATAAGTATCTGCTGATACTGAACTGGAAGTGTTTAGTGAAGTGCTTCTGTTCCAGTGAGAGTAAAGCACCTTAGCTGGGAAAACTGAAATGCATGGAACATACTCAAGGTTGCTTTTAGCAACAGGACAGGTTTTTGGCTATGTTAGCCCAAAACTTGTAATGATGGTTATACTGAAGGAGAACTAGAGGTCTGCCGTTTACCTATCTGTTTCTCATACATGCACAAAATTTAGGATGGAATTCAGATGTATATTGGGGCCAGAGAAAAGGTTATCTATTTGCATGTCTCAATTCCTGGAACACTCCTTAGTGCAGAGTAGGTGGAAAATGCCACGTTGCAGACATCTGAGAAAGCTCTCAGTGCTGTTTCCTGTAATGACCGACATGGAAAAATCCAGGTATGTTCTGGTATTTGGAAATGCTAATTTCAATGTCATGTTGAGCCTTGTTTGGGTTTTAGGGTTTAAAAAGCTGCCCCGAGCACCCAGCTCTGTTCCTGCTTTTGAGACAAGTTCAGTGTAAGCAGCTGCTGCAGTCACACCAAGAGCTTCCAGTCACTGTCCTGGAGGAGCTTCGCAAGGCGGTCATGGCCAGCTCGACTTCAGTGGCAGCCTGGCAAGTAAGTGTGGCTCTGCTCCCTGGCCCTGGTGTGCTGCGCGCAGCATGGGCAAGGGTTTGTGTCCTTGATTGCTTTTACTTGGCTGTGACAGCCAGTGGCAGAAAAAGCAGCTCCTATTCAGTCTGTTAGAAAGTTGTACCTTGACGTTAACTTTCTGTAGTAGTTGAAATAATAAGCACCATTAGTAAGAGCATGGAGGCAGGGGAATTAAAAACTTGAGGTAAAACGCTGGCACCTGCGTCTTTAGGGAGCTGTGACTGGCACGTGAGCAGAAACCAGTGAAATATTTCATAACCTTTAAGATTAGATGGAATATAATGGTTTCCTTCTGTAGGAATAAGGAACATGTGATTTGGGTTTAGGAGGTGCAATAGGAACAAAACCCACACATCTACTGAATTGACTTCAGTGAAGATGCACTGGCCTAGAAGATCAGTTTGGCAGCTCACTTTTAAAGCACAGCTCACTTTTCAAATGCAGAAATGTTTGTGTAATACAGTACAATTATACAAAGGTGTCAAGGATTGAAGTTGCAGAATAAGGAATAAGGAACAGTTTCACACAGTTCCTTATTCAGGGCCTGGAAACAGGAACAAGTTTCTTTCTCCATAATCTCCTGATCAGGTGTCACCGTTCTCTTGCATAAATGGAGTCTATGGGTAACAGAAATCAGTCTTGGTGGTGGTGTCCACTCACTCCCTTGCATGGCACCACGAGAGATCATTTTAGTGAACGTGGAGGTGCTGTCACTGGCTTCATGTGCTGCTTCTGGGAGACTGTCTGAGAATCTGTCTCACGTGTGCCAGGAGATCTTTCTGGTGAGGCAGCGTATTGATGTATTTGTTCCATAGTTGTTGCTGTTAGTCACAGTTATGGTCTTCCTTTACCAATGTAAACCATGTTATTTAGAAAAATTCCATGAACTTCTGGATTGCTTTACCCAGTACAGGGTTTATGATGGCCCTTCTGCCTGTGGAACAAACAAAGCCCTGTTTGTGGTAAGATTCACTAGAGCAGATGTCAGTAGAGATCAGTGCTGTAGAGACAGTTATCTCACTTCTTATAAGGCTGAAGATCCTCTTCCTTCCTGGAACGTGCGAGTCTGATTTGTGGAAGGGTGCTTTTTTTGGGCACATTTTTCTTTGGCTCGTGAGACCACATCTTGCTGAAGTGCAGAACTCATTCAGCTCAGATTTGCCAAACATGAGGGCCTGCAAGATGTGATTGCATCCTCTATTTGAGCAACAGGTTTTGAAAGTGGAATTAGGGCTTTTACACATTCTTCAAGCATCCTTTTCACAGCCAAGTGTCATCTTGCTTACAAGCAGGGAGAAGGAGTGAACTGAAGGCGTATGTGAACTCCTGGTGCTGTGGCTTACCAGGAAAACAGAGAAGAGCTGAGCTGGCAGAGCTGCCTCTGTCCTGTGCAGGATGGTCCTCCTCTCCTGCACATCCTGGGTGCTGGGTACCTTCAGCTGCAAAGAGCTGAGGCCAAGGGAAGCTTTTTTTCTGCACATAAATGGATGTTTTACTTTACAAAGGAGCTTGGTGTCAAGGATGCACAGTATCAGTAGTGCTAACAAATACTTTCTAGCGTGTCGCTTCTTAATGATAAATAACTTTGCATGCATCAGGAAAGGCTCAGAATTCTGCCTCTTCTAACACCGGGCAGTCTTCAGCTGGCAGAGGTCTAAGGACTTCTGCTTAAAGGCAAGGGAATTTTTTTTTTCATAAGAAGCTGCTTTCTTTGCTTGGTGATCCAGCAATGCATATTTCTAAACGTGGCTTACACGTCTTGATGCACATCATCCACGCGTCTCGGATTTGAACACGTGTGGCTGCCTCTGCTTAAAAAATGTGGCAAGACTACAGACAGAAACAGGGAGAACTTTGAACCCTTCTCCTTTTCATCAGCAAACCCAGGACATCCTGTGCTGGCGGAGCGGGCTGTGAAACGCTGCACAGATCCCCGTGGCTGTTTCCTTGGCACATCCAGTGCTGCCAACACAGCCCTGTGGTCAGGAATGGGGTGGCCCAGCCATCACCTGAGCTCAAGCTCACACTGCAATGTCTTTCCTGTTCCTGGCATCAGTTAGAAGGGCTGGAAAAAAACCTTTGCTCCCAAGTAGAAATTACCTTTTCATCTCCACAGAGCTTTTGGAGAGAAATGAGGCATCACACAGCGCTCTTGTAGGCTGAGGGATGGCCCGCTCGTGTTACTTGGTCACTGTGAGCGTCCTCCCGATGAAGAGAGCATGGAGCAGTGTCCTTGGGTGGTGCAGGAGCTCTGAAATCCATCACCAAGCGAGGCTGCATGTTCCTGCAGGGCTGGGTGGCAGTGGTGGTGCAGCTAACAGTGTGCCATGGTACTCTCATAGATGGATCTAAATGGTGTTCCCTGATGGTTGTGGTGACTCCTTAACGGATTTTGTTGGCTGTTTCTTTTCAGTGGCTGGCAAACGTGTATCAGTCCCAAGGAATGATGGTGGGAGCAGAGATGTGTTACAGGAAGAGCCTGCAGTTGGCGTCACAGCAGGGCAGCTGGCACGGGAAGCTGTCCAGTCTGCTCAGGCTCGCGATGCTCGCGCTGGAGATATGCATGGTAGGAGCATCGAAATGACTTCGTTAACTGTGGGATTTAACGGGGCATTATGTTGTGGTTTAGGGCTGGGCTGGGCACTAAGCCCTGGCCAGACGCTCTCTGTGAACCCCTCTGCCCTCCCCAAAAGGGAAAAGGGAAGAAGGGAGAGAGAATTTACGGGTTGGGAAATAAAACTGACAGGTTTAATGAAACAATAATACTGATACTACAGGATAATGATGGAAATAGGAAATAATGGAATAGATACAGACATGTACAAATATAGATACAAAACCAAGATAAAATCCTTCCCCAGTGACGATGACGGCACCAGAGGCTCTGGGAGCACTGGAAAAGTCCCAGTGTGGAGCCAGCAGCAGTGGGAGCTGATGCAGGAGCACAGGGCTCAGGATGAGAGGCAGGCGAAGCAGCAGGGTCTGCTGGGCCTTGGGCCATTGCAGGGGTGGAGAGGGAAGGAAGGGTCCAAGGTGGAAGGGTGGAGCCCCTGGGGATCCCTGGGCTTTGCACTGAGTGTGGGTGTGTGGGATGCAATCCCTGGTTGGGCAGGTTTGGGTCTGCTCCTCCTGTAGGTGCAGCCACGGCCCCCATGGTGAGACAGTGGCCTTGTGATGATCACTTGTAGCAGTGCACACTGTTGTTAAACCGTGCTGCTGGTTTCAGCGACTTCAGCCCCTGAGCAGAGACTGAGCTGGAAAGTGAAATCACTGAATAGAAAATTAGGTCTGTTTAGCTCAAACCAGGACACGTTCATGGGATGTTGGGCTTCTGCAGTCTTTAAAGGAAGCCCCTGTCTCAATCGCTTGGCATTTTATGAATGACCACTAGGGAATAAAATGAGACTGCAAGTGGGCTGTTTTCAGAAGTCTCCTTGCAACAGAGGTTGCTGTGAAATAGTCACACAAAACCACTGTGTATGTGACCTGTTCCTCTAAGAGCAGATCCAGTTTGATCATCCACATTTACGTACCCTTCAAGTCTCTGTCTCCTTCTTCAGACAACAGCCTTTATAAAGGTTTTTCCTGCCCTGGTGCCTAGAGACTTCAGTTAAGTTTCAAGTGACCTTGTTCTCTGTGGTCACTTCCAGATATGGTGCCTTGCCTTGAATTAGAAAGACAACCTAAGGGAATTTACCTGGTGGTATAAAGCAGATTATTATTCTAGTCCTTGCCCAGAGCACAGCTCCACTTTTTGGCAAGTGTCTGTTATCTTTAAGCATTGCCGCTCTAGAAACTTGACATTGTTCACCACCAGACTTCTCTAAAGTGATCTTGGCTAACGCTTTTTCTTGTATTTTAACAGATGATTGAGGTGGCAGCTGTAATCAAAGTCAGGTGAAGGAACCCCGTTAAACCCTGAGTGCTTTTGTCAGAAAAGGCAGTCAGTTTTACCAAGGATAAAGCTTCAAAGCTGTTGCTCCTGGGGGGAAAAGAGAATCCCCTCAGTGTAGACAAGTTTCCTTCTCACAAGTGAGAGGATTTTTCCTGTCGTGCTACCTCTGCCCACTCTCTCGTCCTCTGCTCCCCATTTCCTATAGCTCCTCAGTGTCTCCACAGGTTGCAAGGTACCCTATAACTTAATTAATAACACTTCTTCAAATGCTGGCCTGAATTGCCTGAAAGCGTACAAGGCTTTGATAAAAAAATGTAATTAGTGAAAATTTTATTTATCTCTTTACTTTTTGCTTGAGCAGTTGGCCAGTGGATTTCTGTTTGGTGCCTCTGATCTGCACTGGGTTAATGAAATGTGCAAAAACCTGGTGAAGCCCTTGCTCAGGCCCAGGCCAGCTCTGTGTTTGGCATTTGGGTGTCTCCCAGTTATCTGTCCAAATGCAAATTTGGGCACCCCTTGAAGTCCAGTAATGTGAGTGCTATCTGGACACGATAGGGGTAAGACAACTTTTCTGGAGCCAGAACATACAGGGATTTGCTCAACAGTTGCTCTGTTGGGTAATTACCGTCTTGGAGTTGGTTTTTACTTCTGGTAAAATTTATCTGGGGAGAAATCCTAATTTTAGGATAGCCTTGTGCATGGGATGCAAATTCAGAAGCTGAAGAGCAAACAAGGTTTTGTGTTTAAAGCGAGCATTACTGAGACGTGTATGGCACAAAGGAAAAGATCCTTTGCCTGAATGGGCAAGTGGCACACTGGCAAGGCTGGTCCCAGGATATTTAACGTGGCTTTTCCAGGCTCCTCTCACCAGCGCTTGTTCTGGTTTGTTTTTTTAAGAAACCTCTTTCTAACCTGATAGCCAAGTACTTTCTGTAACTCAGAACAGCTGGAATTAAACCTGCTCTATAGGGAGCTGCAAACAGAAGCTGATTTACACCACACGCTACAATGAAGCCCTTTCCTTTGTTTTTTCTTTCTGGAATCACAGGCAGACATCTCAGATGAGCACTGGCCATCCCTGGTTCAGGAGGCAACAACCGAAGCTCTGAAACTCTCTTCCTGCCCCCTGGCAGCTCTCCTGCAAGCACTGCTGCAGTATCGCCGCAAGTTGGGAGCCAGGTACCTGTGAGGGTGCAATGGAGCAGCCTGGCTCGGAACGCAGGCCCCCGAGCGCAATCCACGCACCAACAGAAGAGCGACAACAGGAATTGGTTCTTGGAGTAGCGTGGGAGGTAGAAGGGTGAAAGGGGAAGGGATTGGTAGCATGGGGAGCAGGAAGCAGCAGAATCTTCCTTTTCTCAAAAATCATATATATGACCTTCACACCAAGAGAAAATCAGCTGTAGGAGCTTTTACTTTAATAGCATGTTACCTAAATGACTTAATTGTACATCACAGCATGGTTTGAGTTGAAGGGACCTTTAAAGCCCATCCAGTCCAACCCTGCAGTCAGCAGAGACATTGGTACAGATCAGGGTGCTCAGACCCCATCAAGCCTGGCCTTGAACATCTCCAGGGATGGGGCCTGCACCACCTCTGGGCAACCTGTGCCACTGATCGACCACCTCATGGGGAAGAGCTTTTTCCTCACATCCAACCTAAATCTCCCCGTTTCCAGTTTAAAACCATCACCCCTCGTCCTGTTGCTCCATGCCCCAGTGAACAGCTCTTCCCAGAGTTCTTAAAGGCTCCTTCCAGGTCCTGGAAGGTCGCTATAAAGTCCCCTTATATATCTTATATCAGGAAGGAACCCATTATATCAGGAAGCCTGTCCATTCTAAAAGGCCTTGTTAAATAAATAGCACAGTGGAAACAGATACCACTGTGCTGTCTACTGCTGAGGTTCGTTTTGATCCTCAACTGGACTCACAGTCCCAGTTAATTTCATGTTCATTCCCAACCAAGCAGGAGCTTTTTGAGGAATATTCTTGCTGGTTTTGCTCAATAATTTCACCTGGTTTTATAGATAATTCTGACAACCTGGCTTACTTTCTGTGTGGGCTTTTAAGAAGGTGCCAGGCATCCTAATGTGATTGTGATGGTTGTCGATGATGACAAAATTGGGCTGGAAAAGTTATTTGATCAATTAAAATCAGTCCTACCACAATTTCAGACATTAACTTAGGTGAATAGTCAGGTACACAGCAGTATTTAATTGATCTGCCCAGGTGTTTCACAATCATGAAACTATAAATTAATCTTAAGTACAAATAGCAAACAAAAACCAGATGCAACCTCTTAGAAACCTGTGAAATGAAAACACACTGGAAAATCACATTGGTTATAAAGGACAGCATCCTCCAGACAAGAGCCAGAGCCGATGGAGCAGCAGTGAATGGATTTGACATCCCTAAACTTAATTGCCAATTCTTACCAGATTTCTGATGACCCAGTGAATTTGAAAGTGTCTCGGTTAGGTACGAGCTGGCCGTGTTGGAAGGCAGTGTCAGCCAATTTGAAATGTAGGCCTTTGTGTCGTACTCTGTTCCCATTGCCTTCTCTCGTGCAGCTCCACGCCTTGCCAACTCTGTCGGCAAGCATTGCAGTACCTTATATTAAATCTGTTTGCGTGTAATATTGAATTATATTGGGGTTGCTGCGGTTCATCGTAGTGCCTGCTTCTCTCGGCTGCGCAGTCTCCCGAAAGGTGTATTTCATAGGGCTTGAACAAGGATCCCTGCTGTGCTTAGTGTGTGATCTGCTGAGCAAAATCAGACTGTGTGCAGTTCAGTGTGGTGGTTATTGTGCTCTTGTAGCCGTTGTAAAATCCACTGTGCCAGTGTAACTTGTGTTACTGGCTGGTTAAGGCACTGCCCTGGGGGTGATCCATTGAGGACGGTGTCAGTGTCCCTTAGTGTTCTGGATGCAGCTACAGAGGAGACAAGGGAAGGTGCGGCTCTGCTCCCTCACCCTCTTGGGTGCTGTGGAGATCAGGACCTTCCCTCCATTGCTGCTGGTGGCTGTCGCCTGCTCTGGGACACTCATGAGTGACGTGCAACCCAGGCAGTTGGATTTAATTCAGGTTATGTTTTGGTTGTGTTTCCAGGGAGACTCGTTTTTTAGAGTGGTTTATCAGCTGGGGAATCCAGAAACCATCGTGTCAGTGGCACGCTGGTACCTCCTGCGGCACCTGCACGCCAAAGATGATCCCGAATTAATAAATGTAAGACATTTCTACAGAAATTTACATTTAATATTGTGCTTGCAACGTGGAAATGGGGTGGGAGGCGCTGGCTCGCCTGCGCTAGAGGTTGTGATGTTTAAGGATTCTGTACTGACAAAGCGTACCTCCGTTTTTGACATTGCATCCAGTTTGTTTGGAAGTCTCCTACTCCTCCATGCAATACTAATGAAAAACAAGCAGTAAAACCTCTCTCTAATCCCAACTGGCAAGAATTCCACTGGTGACTCTTCAGTAGACAGGAGGACCATTTTATCCAAGTTTTACCAGGACATATTAGTGTACCTCTGGCCTGGCTGGAGGGGTGTGCTATCCTGGACCCAAAAGGTCTGAGCTGCAGTGCTGTACCCCTGCACTTCAGACTTTTATTGTACCTGCTAGGGCACATCATTTTCAGTACATGGTAAATGGTACGTTAGCTTCTGTCGACAGTACCTCTTGGTCAAACTCATGAGCCCACGCAGCTCTTCCGTGTGATGCGAAGGGGGGTGGTTCATTTTGGCTGGTAATGGGAATGCCTTTGCTATTCCACCTCTGAATTCACTCTCCTCATCGAGATGCTGGCATGGCGAGGTCTTTTGCCCGTTAATAACTGCTGCTCCCTGGTGAATCTGTAACAAAGCCCATTTGGGGGTACAACACACAGGCTCAGTGCCGACAGAAATCCATGCACAGACCCGCAGGTTGATAAAAAGCTAGAATTAGTGAGCTGGGGCCACCCTGGCATGATCCCATTGCACAGTCATCTGTAATCCCTCCCAACCAGTACAGTAGTTTGTTAAATGGCTAAAGCCATTTAGCTCACAGCTCAACTGAGGAAGTGTGGACTGG